GTCTGCGGCGGGAGGGCGTACCTCGATTCGTCGGGGCTTGCGTGCGCACGGAAGGGTCTGTCGGCGGCAGGGATGCGTTTGTTCCCGAGTGCAGCCGCGGTCGAAGGGAAAACTGGGCAAAAGTAGTTCTCAAGGATGAGCCCGGGAAGTGCCGGGGGCACCTGGTCCGGGGAAAGCAGCGGCGGCGGACAAAGAGCTATCGCATCCCCGGGGCCGGCGGGTCGGAGCAGCTGCCGTGCTCCCCACCTAGTGCCTGTGCGGCGTCCGAGGGGAAGGGCGGCCCGGCGGCGGTGACCGAGTCCAGGTGAGGAGGGGTGCGAGAGGAAGCTGAGCTAGTACTGAACACTTCGCCTCCGCTCACAGAGCTGTCGGCAGGTGCGGATCAGGGGAGAGTGCCGAAAGGGGCAGAGAGAGAAGCGGGGAGAGGGCCGGGCAGGGCCCCTCGTGGGCTTCGCGGGTTTTACTCCCTTCGAGGGGCGCCAGAACAGCGTGGGCAGGGACCGGAGTGGCGTTCTGCGCCGTGGGACAGTGGGGCTGCACTCGCCTGTAGCGTTTGTGGTTGCTTTATGGTCTGTCGAGCAATATTGAGGGTCATACTTAGTCGCCGATAAGTGGTCTTGTTAGCTGAAGTAGTTAAGTAGCATATTTGACTTAGCCTTAATTTCTAATGTGGTTATGTTGGACAGTAAGGTTCAGAAAGTAAATTTTGGTTGCAAGTTAATTTCAAGCGATGAGCTATGTAGAAATTTGTGCTGCCAGAGTGCTGACATTTCTGCTGCTCCGCTGATTCCCCGGGAGTCACAGGGCTTTGAAAGCAGGAGAACACAGAGTGACCAAAGCTTTAATGATACCGTCAGAGTTTGTCTTGCTGACAAAAAGCTACAGTGTTTTCATGAGTTTAAAAGTGTTGTCTGTTTCGTTTGCAGATAGTGTATTGAGTTTTATGCTGCTTGGTTTGTTTGCTGTGTTCATTTTAAAGCATGTTCTTAGGAAGTCTCAAAAATAGTTATCTTGATAGATAAAATAATTAATGTTCTACAGACTTGCTGTAACTGAAATTATCAGCTTCTCTTTTGAAGCAGATGTAAGGTCATTCAGACTAGAAGTATGTATTGGCAGCTACCATCTGTTCAAATATTTGCATTTGTCGCTATAGGGCAAAACCTGAAATCTTGTTGCTTTAATAATTTTATTGTTGTTTCTATTATAGATCTGTTTAATGAGTTTTTGTAAGGGTTAAAGTTTGGCCTTCTGTATTTGTCTCTTGGCAGTCATTCGTCTGTTGTGCTTGGTTAATGTTACCTAGTGAGCAAAGAAGGATAAATAATTTACTGTTCTCATTATGCTTTTAATAAATAACAAATGGGAGGGCACCTCACAGCTGCGACTGGAATATCCATCTTGATATGCTATATTTAAAAGGGGAATTTCTTTTTTACGTAGGAGAACAGAACAGTCACAAGAAGCATTTTGATTATAGACTGATGCTATCTTCACAGCTTTTATTGACATGGTTTAAAAATTCATGTAAGATACCAAATGGGATGGTCACTCACTGTTCCACTTAGGTTTATGGATTTTCTCAGAAAAGCGATGTGTACTTTGGATTTTTATTTTTAACACCCTTTTTAATATGGTATGTAAAATACTGTCTTACTGTAACCTGTCAAGACTTGTATTAGAGACTATTAGCACTAATATGCTAACCATTTTTTAATAAATTAAGAAAATACTTCCTTAAATGCATTTGCAGTTATAATGTCAGGAAATTCATTGTAATTTTACTGAAGTTTTAAGTTTACTTACTGAATATTTTCAGTGTTAACTGAAAACGAGAGGGTCGTTAGGTCCAAGTCTTGGCAAGAATGACACTACAGTCATTGTGATCAGGTTTAAACCTGAGATGGGCTTGTGAAATTGTTTCCAAGATAAGGCAGAACAATGCTCTGCTTTAAAAAGAACAGCAACCGCAAAGAGAATCATATTTTCAGTTTAATTAACTTGGTTTGAGAGTCTTTGTGAACAGAACAGCGTTCTTTGAATGTTTGTTTACAATGAAAGTTTGTAGTATTCTTTGTATTTGTGAAGCACTGACTTTTCACTCTAGTAAGGGGTGTACTATCTACTAGACTCTAAGCCATGTTTATTTATAAGTTTCACAAGCACTTCATAAATATAGGTCATTGAATCTCGTGTGCTGCTTGTTTCTGTAAGAGAGACACTTGCTGTTGGTGCCTATATTTTTCTAGCTGAAGATACATCTATTATAAAGTTTTCAAAAGAGATTTTTTTCATCCTCAGTTCATCAAAACAAAAATCCTTTTAACTTCATAAAATCCTGCTATGAATTAGACTGTGTTTCTTTTAATACAGTGCAAAATAGTGTTTTCAATGCATAGAGTGAGAGTAAAAATAGAAGACCCACATCATAGTGTTATATGACAACACTAGAGGGAATGCAGTAGAAAAATACTCTCACATTAAACCAAGTGTGTTTCTGCTAGCTGTTAAATTCTGTAGACTTGTCAAACTTACAGTTTACCTCCCCTTTACTTGCCTAATTTATCATCTGTTGGTAAATACATGGTGTGAGGTCAGTTAAAAATAAAAGTAGAATATGTAAAGACTGGAGTAGTCCAGTGCTTTCTTACTGTCTCAAAAAAAAAATTTTTTTTTAAAAATAGTTTTGGGCTCCTGGAGCAGATATTTCTATCATAATTGCTGAATTTTAGAAGTGGAAATTATTTTTTGCAAATCTTAAAGAAATTCCTATGCCAAATCTTGAATTGTGTTCATGCAATCAGCTGGCATTGGATAATGGTGTTTAAACTTGCTTGAAATCTCTGGCTAAGATTAAATATAAGATAATTTAGGAAGAAAATCTGCCAAACTTTGTCCTGCCTACATCTCATGAATATCTTATACTGGATAGATGTAATTGAATTAGTTTTGAACTTGAAAATAATGCCTGTATATGCATTACAACAATTGAAAATTTAAACTGCCTGTTTGCATCTGATAGGTCTGAAGTAGCTATATTCTACTACTTCATTGAACTGTTTCTTTAAAAGGTATTCATTAGTCCACTGTTCTTAATTCTCTACTGAGTTCTTTAGATTTTAAAACATATTACATTCCAGGCTCTATAATGCCAAATATTTAAAAAAAACCCATTTTTCCCTAAACTGACTGAGAAGAATGCAGGTCCAGTGGTGGACTAGTGGCAGTCATTTTGAGGAAAAATTCACTTTCCAGACTCCTCCCAAATCAGCTGAAACAGATGTTGGTGTCTAATGAAGTCTTTGAGACTGAGTTACATATTAAAAGGCTTGCTGCACGGAGGCTAAACCACAATGGCTAATAGGCACGTTCTTTTGATAAATACTAACTAGAATTTCCTCTTGCTAAAAATGTTTAGAAGTGTTAACTTTCTTCTTAGGGGATTTTTTTTTTTCTTCCTACTCAAGCAGGTAGCCATTCTGTTAAAATTGTACTCTTTTACTATTAAAGCTAAAAATGAGATTACCGATGTGTGCAGTGTTTGGTGTTGGCATTGCTTTAAATGGACTATAAAAATTAGGAGGTTGTTCAGAGTTATCGTCAAAGTGTCTGGTATTTAAAAGCAATCTGTGAAAGACAAACTCCAGAGTTTGTAGTAGGTGGTTTTCAACATTTTTTTTTTCCCAAAAGGAAACAAACCACAATAAATTACTGCCTTTCTGGGAGTCTTTTAGTATTTAGTTATTGAGTTCTTTGATTCAGAAAAGTAGCTAAACCCCTCTTAGAGTTATAACAGAAAAATTAGGTTAAGCATTTTGATTTTACTGTTACTAAAAATTTCAATTTCTGTTAGAAGCTTTAGGAAGTGTTAAACCAACTGTTGTTAAACTGATTTCTTTGTAGTACATTTTAGTTTATTATTAGAGAAAATAGTAGATTTGAGCACAGTTTCCTCATGAAGTTGTGGTAATTCAGCAGTGCAGGTGTGGCAGCAAAGAGGTAATAAAAAATGACATTTTGTCAGCTCCATCCAAATTTGCATTATTTCCAGATGAAAGCATAAGGAAATGAATTATTTTGTTGTTTCATCCTGATTTATTACAGTACTTGACATTTTTTATGTGATTCTAATTGCATAGTATCAACTAAGACAAAAATAACGATGTTGGGTAGGCACTAATGCGATTCTAAGCTTTCACCTTACATTAAGGTGGTAGAAAAAGTACTAAGAAAATGAATTATTTTATTTAACATGTGTGCTGCCCTGAAATGTCAGAATATCAGCTTTTGTTCACAGTAGCAGAACTACTACTAAAGAGTGCTGTGCCAGCAGAGTGTGGTTCTTTGCACGCAGTCAGCTTGGCTCCTAGTGAAGCCCTCCGATTACCATTTGCTCCATGTTCCTTCACAGCAAGGCTCTTGATCGCTGCCTTAGTCAATAATGTGAATGCTTCCTGCAAGCCTTAAGGAAGCCTCTAATCTGTAATGACACTGAAATTTAATGTGCATTTTTAAACCTCCTTTTGGTTACCATTATTTTGAGGAGTTCTTTCCTAAAAGAGAGCTTTTAATTTTACAACCACCTCGCTTTTTGCATGTATGTTTTGGTTTATTTATGTGTCTTCATAATGGTGTTGGTGAATCTTGAAACTGAGATACTTAATATGGGTTTCTTTGTCTTGTCTGGGTGGTGTACCCAGCTTCTGCCTGCTCACTGCCTAGTGAGAAGTAATCTTAGGAAAGAAGAAATTGTGAATGGAAAGTGTTTTACACAGATGGTTTGCTTATGAGTGCCCATTTGACAGGCTATGGGAAAAATATAGCTGAGGGACTTTATTTTTGGCTCTTCCAGGAATAACTTGTATAACTTTTTAAACTTTTTTCCTTCCTGTATCAGATGGAGCTTATTTTTTGATAGCTGAGAAGTTATGCATGGATTTATTTACTGTTTAGGCTGAGGTCAATATTTAATGTATAAGCAGAGTGATAGTCTTGTAACTATCCTAATCTTTTTGGTTTGAACTTTTTTTTTTTTTTTTTTTTTACTGTTAAAAATACTGCAGGATGTAGGCAGGTTAGGTGGAAAAGCTGTAGAAAAGTTAAGTAGAACATTTCTCAAAGGAGTGGGACCATGTAGTTACGATAGATTCCTCCCATCCATACTCTGAAGATACTCCAGGGTGAGTTGATGTGATGGTTCAGAGGGACAGCTAGAAATGCATTTGAGCATTTGAAAGATAATAAGTAGACTTTCAATTGTTTTTTATCTATTTGAGTCAGCATAGCCTTCTGGACTTTAGAGTGTACCCAAATTTGTGTCTGTTATCATAAATACATGGCATGGTGCATCTTTTAACCTGTTGCTTACTCTGTGTACTTAAAGTATTTTCTCCAAACAGAGCCCTAAGATTTGTACAGAAATAGTAAAATAAATTAAAAAAACAACAAATAAACTTTGCCTGAGGCTTTTTTTATTCTTGGAAAAGGCTAAGTAGTTTTTTTTTTTAAAAAAAACAGTTTTTTAAAAAAACCCTTGCATAGCAAAGTTCAGCCCAATGGGGTGTGCAGCTTCAAGCAGTCAGTACCGGTGATAGGAAGTTCCATTATATCTCTACTAAATATCAGGGCAGACTGTGAGTTTTAAGAGTGACTAGGAATGCAGCTTTCAAACTTGAAATAGAAACTAATCAACAGCAGAGTGTATGTGGCAGAATTCTGTTCCTCTTTTGGTCTCAGGTAGGTCTTAATTTCTGCTTCTGTTGTGTGGATTTGGGTGCACTTTCCTAGGTGCTACAGAAAAGGCAAGGCATCTAGGCAGCCCTTCTGCATCCATGTTTAGAGCCTGTGTCTTTTGTCAGTATTGAAGACTGGAATCCCAAGAATTAGGAAGTGTAAGTGACAGGTTGATGTTGTCAGTTTAGTTGTGTAGAGTATGGCTGGCTTGGTGGTGAAAAGAGAGTGGTGGGAACAAAGGAAGGGAAAGTGTGTTTGTGGATGTGACCTTGACTTTGAGATCTGTAACGTGGATATTTTCCAACTGGGGTGATGAACTATAAAGATGGCAGTATTTTAGCTTATTAAAGGTATAGCAATTATGTAATAATTGCACTGTAAACATTCATTTTTATTTGTCTACTTAACAAGCTTTATCATCATGTAGAGCATGTAATTATAAGGCTTCTAATAGTTAAGAAGAACTATAGGGAAAACAAACAGCAATATTTGCCAAAGTTACTTAAACTCAAAAATAAGCTTTTCATCTCCATTATAGGAAAGCTTCAAAGCCTAAAACTGTCAGTGTTTTTTCTGGGTGAATCATATTTGTACAACTGCTCTTGTGAGTTCAAAATAAAACAAATTTCTGCATAAAATTTTCTGCAGAAAAGGAATATGAAACAAAAACGTTCCTTTTAATTTATGTAAGGTCATTCTTGTCCCTAAGTCTGGGCAGTTTCTTAGAGGGAGGTGAGGTTTTTTTTACCTTTTTTTTTGTTTGTTGGTTTGGTTTTTTTAGCAATTAACATATTCTTGCTGTCTGAATGGTTGAATTTCTCTCATGCGTACCTGCTGATTTGGCAAAGCTCCTTGTTTCACACTGGTATGTATACATGCTGCAATCCTTGAGATGCAGAAGAGTTTTGAATAGTGTTCTTTGAGATTAAAGTGACCAGAAAGTCTTAAATTAACTAAAACATCACTTCATATGTAATTTTGGGATTCCGTTCTTGATGTCTTCCTGTGTGTTTTGTGAAGTAGCTAATGAAGTGGATGTACATGTAGGTTGATGGCATCCTCTAGTCATGGTTGTGACTGTCATCTTTATAGATCTTCTCCCTGCCTTGTCTTTTCAAGTGTAGGATGCAAGCAACTTTCTCTGTAAAATACAATGTACTGTTTTGTTTAGATTTTTTTTTGAGCATTAAGTATCTTTTTGAGCCTTTTCTCTCTTCTGTATTTATGTAACATGGAATAGGTGGGGGTTTTTTTGCAGTGAATAATCAGTGCTAAGTAATTCCTTCACAAATTTCTTCATAATACTTGCAACACACAGTTTTGAATTATGCAGAGATTTTTGTCATCTCTGATATACTGCTAGAAAGTTGGACTTGTAAAAATCATGTGTTGTCTGTGTTTTCTGTTGATCTTACGAAAAGTATATGTAATTAAAAAACAGACTGAAATATTGTCAGTTAAATTGCCAATTCATAGTACTTTCTACCTATAATATATTTCTGTTCACAATTCACTTATTTGCAATTGTCACATTCACTGATTTCTGTCCTAGATTATTTGCTTCATTGAGATAAAAAGTGGAAGTTTTAGGTTTAGAGTTTTTTTTCTTAGCTGATTCCCTGGTCTACCCCTCTTTCATGAATGAAATATATTTGTTTTGATATGAAACAGCTTTAGATTATATTAAAAATTACATTGTTTTGTGATGTTGAGTATGTTATTGATTTTATCATCCCATTTAGATGCAGAGTCTGCTGTTAGATCTTCTGGACTCAACAGTCCAATGGGTGGAAAAAACATTTTTGGTGGTTGAAGTTTGTACTTTTGCAGGAGTAGTCCGCAGTTTGCATTCTATCACAAAGTACTTTGAACATATTTGAGTGCTTTTTAAATTCAGGAAGCTGTCAGATATTTTTATTTCCTGTTTTCTTTCTGATAATGTGATTATTTCATTTAGGGATTCATATAATGAGGCTTTTATTATGGCCAGTGACCCCTTGGAAGGCTTTCATGAAGTGAACCTCGCTTCGCCTACTACACCAGATCTTCTTGGAGTAAATGAGCCAGGGACTCAGGAACAAACTACCTCACCCAGTGTAATCTACCGACCACATCCTTCTGTTGTGTCCACACCAATCCAACCCAACGCATTAAATGTTTCTGACCTTCCTACACAACCTGTTTATTCATCTCCCAGACAACTGAATTGTGGAGAAGTATCAGGTGTCAGGTAAATGCCATGTGTCTTTTTACTTAAATTGTTGATGTTTGTTGCATATAAACTATTTGCTTCATATAAGATACAATTTTAATAGTATTTACAGTGTTGTAATATTAAATTGTGTCCTTAATTCTATATTCAACTTCACTGCTTTCCTTTCTAAAAGACTTACTCTTAATGCATTATATAAATAAAAATTATATTGTTTTCTTTACAGCATCAATGTTACCGACGCAGTACTTTGTTCTACCTCTGGACCCCAGAGTGGGTCACTCAATCACAGTAATGCCAGGAAGGAGAGCAATAACGTAGAGAGAGAGCTTTTGCAGGGTACTACAGTAGCAGATGTTGCTGAAGGAAATGAAGATATTTTTGGGTTGAGTACAGACAGTTTATCTCACTTACGGAGCCCATCTGTACTGGAAGTAAGAGAAAAGGGCTATGAACGATTGAAGGAAGAACTTGCAAAAGCTCAGAGGGTAAGGTTCATTGTCTTGTTTTCTCCCTCTTTTTCTCTCTTTGAAGTGTTTCTAATACTGCAGAATGATAGATGGGCCAGAAGGTGCATTTGGAGTCTGCTTATTTCTTATGGATTTGTTACGATGTAATTATGTAATGTAAAATTTTCTAAGTGCAGTGCTGATGTCTTAGAATTATTCTTTGATAATGTTTTTTTTTCTAGTGCTGCTGCTGCTACTTAGCTGTGGAAACTTTTGCTGCAATATCTGGTTAAACATTCTCTTTTTGAAATGTAGGCTTTCCTTCATTCTGACATTTGAGAATAGGAGTAATTTTCTGTCATTCTGTTGTTACTGAATAAGTATTTATAGACACTACCTTTCGAGTCTTTCCTCTAGAGCTTAGAAGTGTAGCATGTGTCATGGAATTTATAAATGCTTTAGAAACAGGAGTGTTTCATAGGGGAATGCCTGCATAGGAAACAACCTGTAAAAATGTCTCTAGTGTTCTTTAGAGTTCTGTTACAACACACTTCAAATTGAATATGGATACCTTTGAAGACACTGTGTCTCAAGTCATTAATATTTGTAAAGCGCTTTGTCTTGTTTGGATGGATGGTGCTATATAAATGCAAAGCCATTATTTATCATTTTAACATTTCTCTATGCCTAAGTTTTTGAGTATATTTTGTGCTATTTGTATCTGTGCCCTTTCTTCTCCTCTAGGTGATTCCATTCTTGTTCAGGTTTAAGCTCATCTTGTGTTTGAACTTCCTGCCCTCTGTTTTGTTATCTTTTCTTGTTGGATGCAGTCATCATTACTGTCCCAGTAAACCTTAACTATGGATTCATACATTGCTTTTTCTGTTGATTTACTGCTGAGTGGTGGCTAATGTGTGTGTTTGCTTAGCTTTTGACCACTGAAAGGAAACATTAACACGAGCTAAACTTGAGGACCTTGCATGTGGATATATAATCCAAGCAGTTAAACTTGGAACCCTAGAAAGTAAGGGCTAATTGACATCCAAACTTTAGAAAAGCTCTTTTTTACAGTATACCAAATTATAGCTCATGTACTTGAAAATTACAATTTGGATCTGCTACTATAGCTTGGAATGATCTAAAAATCTTATTGCAATGTATACCACTTTGTCTCTTAAAGATTGAAATATTTCCTGTTTCACTCTGAAATTTTTTTAGGGCTGTTCTTAAGGAAATGCCATGAAGGCTGCTAGGACATACTTAACTGCATGTTATGTGTACTCAAACTCTTTGTGTGGTCTTAACAAAAGCAATTCAGCACTAACTTGAGACAGATGTCAGCGTTCTTGCTAATTCTCAACTCTTCATGTGATTCTTACCAGTGTTATACTGCAGAGGTAACTTGCTTTGCTTGTCTTTCTAAACTTGCACTGTTTCAGGGTTGCTTAGTCACATCAGAGGGGTCTGTACTGTGCAACATTAAACCCTATTCCTTCCATTATACCCACTTTCTTCCTGCATGAGGACTATTTTTTTCCTATCCCTAACTCATTTCTAGTATCTTTCTTCCAAAACTCATGGCTGTTGACATAGTGCTGTATCCTGTCTGCGATATTCATATGTCATGCAATCTTTAAACTTCTGTTTCCAAGCATATACACTTCTGTTGACGAGTATTCAGTTCAAACCCTGTAGGGATGTAATGAATAGGGGGTATCTTTGTGTAACTGGTTGTCTTTTGTGTAATGGCTTTAAGTTCTCTGTAATTCTCTGTGCTGTTTACTAGTGAGAAAAAAGAGATTTATAATTTGCACTTGAATTTGGTGAGCTTATTGAGCCTGGAAACTTTACAAGCTATGGAGAATGAACAAATTAAATGCAAATTTGCTATTTTGCATTTTTCATTTGTTCCAAATTTCCTGCTCAAACTGTGTGCTATTGTACTGTACATTAAAGATTGATTTGAATTTGTTGCAGTTGTGATCACAAAGGGAACTAGAAAGAAAAAGGAAATTTTAAAGTTTAGGGATCCACTGATTTTTTTTTCGCTTTGCTTGGAGTGCAACTCTTTTCTTAAAGTGCTGTCACGTTTGTTTTTTTTTTATATTAGATAATGTATGTATGCCATGTAATTGTTAGACATTTCAATATTGTTTCTGAATAAATTATTCAGTAATAGAATAAGTATTTTTTTCCTGCTTTGTGTGTGCCTTGGATTTCTTAAGACTATAGACTTCCTAAAATGAATGGCATTGCTGGCAAGATTGTTAAAAAAGTCTTTCAAAAATTCGTGTCTTGACAAGAGAAAAATACACTTTCTACTTCAGTCTAAATCAGTTGCAGGATCAAATCATATCATAAGATAGGGAGGAAGGTTTAGTCAGAGGTTAAAAGCAGTGCTGAACTCTGTACTAATGGGGCATATACAATTTTACATACTTTTGCCTTAAAATGCTCCCTGAATTAAAATTAGGTTTTTTTCAATCTCTGAGACCATTCAGATAATTTTTTTGCTGATTTTTTCATAAAGTAGTAATTTCTGGCTATATTCTAAAGGTGGAGATGGGTAGCGTTTGCTTTAGACTATCTGAACCCTTCTTGTTTCACTGATCTTCTAAAGCAGCATCAGGGGAAGTGAGGTGGTGTTACAAGACTTAGTGATGGTAATGCATGGAACCTTATGTCCTCATGTCTCTATGCATTTGTATTTTCTCTGCCATGTTTGGATTGAGCTCTGTCACTGTGGTTATTGACCATAGGTCAACCACATGTAGATAGCTCTCCCAGAGAACAGTGATGGTAGTTTGATACATAGTATTTCTTGATATACAAATTTCGCAGCGTCCTCCTGAGGGAGTACCTTTTGCTTTTCATCTGAGTTAATCAGCATCCTGCATATGTTTTGGATAGCTTACCTGTTGTTTCTGAGCTTTAGCATTTGATAGTCACGTTTTTCTTGAATTTTTGTGTGATTTGACCCAAAGTTGTTTCCTTCTCAAACAAACGGATATTTTAGCCATCTTTGATGAAGAAAGAGCAGTCTGCCAGAGATTGTAACATGTTTGGTTTCCATGATTCCTATGGTCTTTTAGAGTAAGACCTGTACAGTTGTTAGTAACAAGTAAAGCCTTGTTTGCCTTTCTGTAGTAAAATGTGAATGAATTATATTTTCCTAGTAAAATTGGTTTGTTTCCCCCCAATACTCTTGTGAAAGAGGTGATAGTATAGAATGTACTGTCAATTTTAACATAATTTGAGAGCCTGATTCTCAGATTTAGAATTTTCTTTCAAAGGCTTCAATTTCTGTATACGTTTTTCATTTCAGAAACAAACTGAATGTTACAATTTGATCTCATGTCTTCAGATCTGCTGTCAAACATGATATTTTAAAACTTCGCATGGATTAATCAATGAATGGGTTCACAATAACTACCCAGGATTTCCAGTGGTACTATACAGTACTTTACAACATTTTTAAATTTCTGTTATTTCTTATAAGTTAACAATAAAATGAGGTGCGTTAGAACTGTACTGAAGCGTATGCTTTCAGTCTTTCCTAAAATCAAATTGCAGTTGAACTGTAAGGCCACAGGATTGTGATGGTTAAAGATGCATTGGTTCTCTGAAGGTGTTTTAGCAGTTCCTGGCTGTCTTTCATCAAAGTTTCCACACCACTTACACTGTTACAGTGCATTGTAGGCAGAGGAATTTTCTCCAGCAAGCAGAGAGAAGGCTACATGAAAGCAAAATAGAAACATCTTCACCCACACCATAATTCAATAGTTTGTGAAATGCTGCTAACTTTGGAAGGAGATTCTGGATCTTCAGATCACTTCCGTGTGGATCTGAATGCAAAAGACTGATTTTTATGTAGCTTGTTCAACTTGTGTGCTGGGTGAAGACCAGTCAAATAGGACTGCATTTAACATAATTACTTTGACAACATCAGAATTCAGCAGTATCCCACAGTTCAGAATTTAGGTGATATCTGTAGCAAATGTTCTTTCCTTGGTATTATGCATCTAGTTCTGACTTTAAATTGCTGAGCTAGATGTAGGATGATTTTCTTCCTAGAATGTAAAGTGTGAATGGTTTTGAAGCAGTAATTTGCAATTCTTATCTCATGGTTCTTTTAAAATACCCACCCTGTTGTCTGAGAAGATCAAAGAGAAATAAACAACAATATGAGCTTTTGATACAGACTTTTTTTTAACTGTAAGTTTTTTTTTTCTTCCAAGCATGTTAATTTTTTTTCTTGCCTTCTGTAAGTATGTTCGTAGTGTGCTTTATAATGGTTCCTCATCTTCCTGTAGTTACTTTTTCAGAACAGTAATGTGTAAAGGACTGCAGCATGAATGGTTAGCACACACAGTTGTCTTTTCTGCTTCTTTATTGGCTATGTCTGGGAAGTCTTTAGTAATGCCTTTAAGCCACAGGCACTAGTAATGCTTCTAATAACTTCTAAGCTTTTTGCTTTGGGCATTTTTCATTTCTTCCCTGCCTAAAAAAACTGAGCTTAAATTTACTTGACAAAAATAATGTCTTACATTATGCTTCTCCTGAATCATGTCATGGAAACTTGCCTAGTGTTTGACAAATCCAGCTAAGCAGCCATGCGTAGTAGACTGCCTGGTGTTGTCTTTTTGTTTTCATTAAGAAACTTTACTCATTCGCCTAAATTTTAATCTCTCCTAATCTTTCCAGTTGCAGGCAAAATGTAAGTGCTTTATGTAAGTAGTGTATTGGTAGTGGTAGGTGAACCTGGGGTAGTTTTACTTGCATTGTTAGTTTGACAGCTCTTGACCTGAGTATTGATACAACCTGCTTTTAAGATTTATCGATGTATATGTAGCATTGTGCTTACAAATCAGGGAAATAAGCCAAAGGAAATGTTGACGTTTCCTCTGCATTTACAGGAAAAGTTTCAACTCATTTTTGAGATTTAAGAATTTTGCATCAGAATCTTATATTTCCTGATTAAGAACCATACTTTATATGGGAAATACTTTAAACCAACACAGAATAATTATATATTTTCCCCTTTCTTTTTCTTTATCCTTTTTATGTCTCCATCTGTAGCTGTTTTTCTGCTGCCTTTTTGGATTTTTTTTTTTGAGAAAGAGGTCACTGTGTGCAGAATAGTAGCTAGCAAGTAAGATTTGAATTGAATTTGAGAAATACTGTGTTTGGAAAAATCACCATCATTTAAGTGGTACCTCACGAACTAGTTGCATATAGAAAGCAAAAAAATCCAAATGACAAATAAACTAAATGAAAAATCAATCAAAATGTTCAAAGTTAAAACCAAATGAAAGGATAGAATAATGCCTTAGATACTAAACGATTCTAGAAGGGTCCCTAAACTCTTGTCCAGTCTCCAAGCTGAAGTCAAACAGGACCCTTCACCTTGCAGAAAAATCTATTGCCAATTTCACTGCTGAAATTGAGAGCAAGACCTAGTACCCAGCATGTTATAAGGCAAGATGCAGTTTCCCACATAGTTGTATGCAACATTACTTCAGTCACGAAGTCTTTGGAAGAAGTACTAACCACCTTCCAAAAACTCAAGTGAAGCTGCCATTTGGACCTTTTTTTATGATTCTCTTGTGACTGGCCTCCTGCAGTTTTGTGAAGGCAGTTATTTTTTACTGGCTTGTGGAGGTTTTCAGAACAAATCGTTGCTAGATTGTATTTGAAGTCTTTAACCTACTAGTGACAGTCTTTGGCCTTGTATTTCAGGAATGATGGTAGTGTAATAGCTTTCTTGGCAGGGGGAAGAGGAAAAAGAGGAGATGGATGGGGATGAGAAGGGAGCTAGGGCCAAAAAAAGTTTGAAAGGTCAGAATTGGCTACTTTTCTTTCTTCTACTTTATTTCTACATCCTTCTCTTTGTGCAAGGGATTCCAGGGTTTAATGGATGTGGAAGGGGACAAGAACTTTCTTTCAAATTTCTTGTCAGCCTTTTTCTACTTCTCTGCAAAGTACCCCACTTTATCCTTAGTACGGATGAGATTGGGCATACGTAACCCTTATACTGCCAAGTCTGTGTTAAAATCTTACTGCAAAACTGGTTATGGTCAGACTTCCACTCAAATTTTAGTGAGGTGGACACTAACATTTTGAATTTCATTAAGTTGCTTTACTTTTATTTATAAATCTGCATAAACAAGGGCAAGGATATAATTAACATATGATTTCAGAAACACTGTAAGGAGATATTTGGAAGACAGTATTTATAGTAAGATATGTTTTAAGATTCGTTTAGAACTGCAGATTGTCCCGAGTCAGTGCTTTTTGATTTTTTTAATAAATTTTTAAATTTTTTAAAAAAGGATTACTTTAAGCATGTTTAAAGGATTGGGTAGATGAACTGGTGTTCTGTCTGCCCCAATAATTAATTTGATCTATATTTTATGCGAATACAGCCTTTTATACTTCCAGGGGCAAAAAAGGTTTTTTTACTTCAGCGTATTTTGGAAATGTTGGTCTTTAGCTTAGGTATGCATTAGATTGGCCTGGTATAATTCTGCACAGCAGGAAGAAACAGCTGTATATGCATAGCATTAATTTAATTGTTTTTAGTGTTGAGATGACTGTTTTGAAAGGCTTTGTTTAGCAAAGGTTTTATGCTCCTCTGATTATTTGCTTTTTTTTTGCCCCCCCTCTCATGTGGTATTAGCTTTAAAAGGCCAAATTACTACTCTAAGTCAGAATAAATAACTTTCAATTTTCCATAGGAGCTGAAGTTAAAAGATGAAGAATGTGAAAGGCTTTCTAAAGTGCGAGATCAACTTGGACAGGAATTGGAAGAACTTACAGCTAGTCTGTTTGAGGTTTGTTGGAGTCTTCGATGTGATATACTTAAGAGAAGCTGAGCCAGATGTTTTATGTAGAACCAGTATATTGTATGCTGAATTTTTCTTCAATAAGCGCATAAAGGGATTTGTGTCCTGGAGGCTTGGGTGTGTTGAAGTAAAAGCTTAAGAGAATGCAGCAGGCTTTTTTCTTAGATGCGAGACACCTTATTGAGCTTGTCAATCTGCCTAGACACAAAATGAAGAAAATAAGGGAAATATATCAGCTTATTTTTTGGCATAACTATTTTTGAGACAGCTTCTCTGTCTGACAACAAGGCTATCTAGATAAGAGCTAAATTTGGTGTTGCCATGGTGACTAAATAAAAAAATAACGTAGTTCCAGATGAATGGAGGTAGCAAGTACATAACTTAACCATACTTTCAGCTTCTGAATTTTGGCTCTGGTAGCATGCTACACCCACAGACTTCAAAAGAAACACTAATGCTGAGTGATGCACCAGGGTGAAACCTGATTACCAAGTGAGAAGCCTGAACTTTCAGTGGAACCTTTGCATTTGAAGAAGAGGCAGTAGTACCAGCAAAGATTGTGAGATGTATTACACAGAAATAAAATGCTAAATCCATAACCTCATTTTTTCTTAGGAATATATATAGGAATGCTTTGAGCCTAAATTGTAGTATCTTTAACTGTCAAAATAAATTTCATAATCCATGGATGCCTTATACATTTACTAAATTGTAAGTATAGATTTTCAGCATATGCATAAAGATACAACATTAGGTATGTTTTAGAAGCAGTGTTTTAAATCTATGATATTGTATAAAAGTGCTATTAAAACACTTGAAAATACTGACATTCAAAAATCAAATTACAAACTACATCCCGACAGAGCAAGGTTACTTAAAATATTAAGCAGTTCGTTTGTGTAAAAACGTAAGAGTGGAAGGGTGTTTTATATTATAATTATTTGCGTGTGCTGCGGGGAGAAAAATGTCAGGCAGGTATTTTAACTGTGGAGGAATAAAAGGAAAATTATCAGTGAATTTTTTTATTTATGACATTGCATTACTTAGAACAGTGTGTCAGTTTATTAAAAATATATTTGAAATACAGTTTGTTAGTAATAATAGTTTGAGTTGTCCAGACTGTTATAGGCATATTACCCTAAGTTTTCTTTTGTAGTTTGATTTCTCTTAGAGGCTCTAACAAGACACAGTGGTGAGGTTTATTGATTTTTTGCACTGAGATCTGCAGCCCTTGAATTCGTGTTTAATTTTGAATCCAACTAATTTCAGCAGCCATATAAAGGGATATGCTAGGGCTTCTGTTATTGCATCCCAGAGGAAGATTGAGACTTGTTTTGCACAGCTGGGTGCATATATTACATTATTACACTGTAATAGCACAGTAACATGCTTTGCTTTTAAATATGCATCACAAAGCAGAAACTGCATGGTCAATGTTAAATGTATTTGTACACATTGTATAAATGTGTATGTTCTCATTCCTGCATGCGTCTTGTTACTTACCAGAATTTTACAAACCCATACTATACAGCTGTGTTGTATGCTAGTGGGAACCAGATCTTTCGGTATGACAATGTATGAACTTTTTTGTTCTATTTATATAGTGTCCAGATGTGCTAGGCGCTTTACAGATATGAAAAGGATCCTATCCCAAGTAGTTTGGTTGGTGGCTCTGATATTCTGATTTTTATTGCCTTCACTAAGTACCATGTGAGAAGAATAATTTGATCATAGGCACAAATTGCTGGATCAGAGCCTAAACAAATACATTATACAGACAAAAGGCTTAGGTAAAAGGATGAGGTAAAAGGATGTTGGAAAAACCCTCAGTCCTTTTATGCTTCCTTCTTTATTGGCTTAGCCTTGTTTCTTTACTTGGGTTGTTTTATTAGTGTTTTTTCCATTCTACTTGAAAAATGTTTATTAAATGATCAAGTGTTTTTAAGCTGTTGTTTTGTCTGTTTTATTGATGGCAAGAATTTAGACTTCGTAGTTTGACTGGTTCCTTCATGCCGAAATTTACAGTTATCTAAAACTGGTTATTCTGGCTACAAGAAGGGAGAAGTTCTTTTGAATGTGCTACTGTGCCTATGTTGCTTTTGTTGCTACTGGTTCAGTCTTTCTCTTGGGGGTCAAGGAACTTGTCAGACACTGAAGCGTGACTGGAGGCTGGTGTTCATGACAGGTATTGTTCCTGCTGGAGTGGGGTGGGTGGAGTTGCTGAATTTCTGAATCTGGGCTCAGAACCAAGGAGAGCCTTAGTTGGCCAGTGATGAATCAAAGTCATAGATTTGTAGGGATTTTTTTTTTTAAATGTAGCTATTTAATTTCAGACTATTGCACATCTTAATTGTCACACGTAGTCTTCATGAAGCAAAAGAATGTCATTAGTTGTTGGATTTTTCATAAATTTGTGTGAAGCATTTACACTAGCTAAACATCTTTTGTAGGAAGCGCACAAAATGGTTAAAGAAGCAAATGTCAAACAAGCTGCTGCAGAGAAACAGTTAAAAGAAGCACAAGGCAAGGTCAGTTTTTTCCCAACTTGTTTGCTTTGTATTTTCACATGGTTTTAAATCTGAAGTGTGAATCATAAAGATGTAGAGCATTACCAGTATACATTTTTAGGATATATACTCAGTTGTTTTGTGTTGTGTGACATATTCTTAGTGAACACCCGTGGACATGGTGTTTCAGCATCATGTCATCCAGCAAGCTGCATATGAAGCCAATGCTACTACTATGTGCAATTGCTTAGGTAGCTGTGTGTTAGTACTGTTAGAAGTTGAAGTTTTGATTTGCATCAAGATAGCTGGAGATGTTAAATGATTTAATATATTTATAAACAAATATTTTTTTTGTTTCTTAATGACTTTATTCCCCCTGGCACCTGAAGATTGATGTCCTCCAGGCTGAAGTAGCAGCATTGAAAACACTAGTACTGTCTACTTCACCAACATCTCCAACTAAGGAGTTCCAATCTGGTGGAAGAACTCCTTTTAAGAAAGGCCATGCAAGAAACAAGAGTACAAGCAGTGCTATGGGTGGCAGTCATCAGGACCTTACCATGATGCAGCCAATTGTAAAAGACTGTAAAGAGGTAATTTACAAGGATCATTCTCTTTTTGCTGATAAACTGGCGTTATTGTTTTGTTTTACAATAAATAGAGCATATCTTAAATCTTCATTTAATGCTGACTTAGAGATAGTTTTCATTAATGAAAGAGCTTTCCTTACATACCAACAAGTAGTGATTTTTCCAAGTCTTATTTACCTTTAAGTCATTAAGGGAAGATAAGATAAGATTTCAAATATTGGAATTGCAAGTGGTGATTAAAAAATCCCAAACAGTATAACTGAATGGTAAATCCTGGTGGCTTTTTTATGAAGTCCATCACTGAAAGTTCATAAACTTTCATAAACATTGTATAAGCTGTCATAAAAATGAGGAAGAGTCATTGTTTAGATCAGTAGTGGGTGAAAGATGTCAGGGAAAGATGAAATCAGTAATTAGAGAACAGGTGATGAGTCCCTGGAATCCTCGGGGTTGTATGTGTGGGTCTTTTATGTGGGTTGGGCTTTTTTTGTTTGTTTGGGTTTTTTACTGGTTTGCTTGTTTGTTAAATCTGCTCGAGTCACTGAAAATGGGGAAATAAGGAGCAAGGTGTTGGTACTTGAGTCCTTGGAATGGTAGTAGCAAAAATTGACCGAAGTGTTGAGAAGGAGCTTACTTTACTGGATGTTTAGTAGAACAGGAGATGAAATCCAAAAATCAATAAATGAGACACAGGGCATTTAGGGAAAAAAATGCAGGTAGCACGCTTGAAGTTGTGGACTTGGAAAGAGGTGTGTTGTACTGGGAAAAAAATCTAGTGTCCTTGTTGATCACTGTCTGAAAACCCCATCTCAGTGTTCAGTGATGGTCAAAGACCTACAGAGATTTAGGAGTTCTTAGGAAAGGAATAAATAACAAAAGAAGTAGTATTATACTGCTGTATCAACATGTAGTAAGAGTGTTTCTGTACATGCAGCTGTGATGTATTCATCTCAGAAAGGACACTGGAAATAGCAGGAAGTGTGACAAAAATGGTCAAACCTAATGGAAGGACTTCTTAGTAGAGATAGCTGAGGTAGAAGAAAAATTGCTGCAATCTCAGTTGACATGGGAAGATCAATGAGGAACAATTATTAATGAATTAATGAAAATTCTGCAAGTTAAAAGGAGAATTTTTAGTCAGTATGTAATGAAACATTGTCACAAGGAAGCAAGATTAAAAATATGTTCAAAATAAAGTCATGCAAAGTGACAAAAGAAAAGCCTCTCAAGATATATAGAAGATAGATATGACATTTGGCTTAGAAAGCTTCTTTAGCTATAGACTGCTAGGAGTTTTGAGGCTGTAAAAGAGTACGCATCACTGCCCTTTCCTTCAGATGTCTCTTCAGCCAGCTCTATGGCTGCTGGCTATTGTCAGAGGGGTAATATGCTGACTAGATCTTTATACTTTCTTTTGCCTGTCACCATTAACTGCATTTGTACTAGACATCATTTTACAATAAACATAGAAAATTACAGCATCTTCCAGTTTGTGTTTCATACAGGGGAAAAAAAAAAAAAGATGTTTTTGCGTGTTGGGCAAAAGTGAGAGACCAGAGAAATCTGTTTTGCCTCAGTTTCTCGTGGAGAGAAGGTGGTGTTCATGGAGATCATACTGAAAAAGAACCAGTCTGCCTGGCACTTTTCTTTAGTTAATTCATCTTTTTGTTGGCTGCATAAGGAGACACTTCAAGGCTGCTCAAACTGGTGACTTTTTCTTCCAGTCATGGCCTAGGGAATCACCTAGAAACACATAGGTTTTCCACCCACTGGGACCTGAGTATTTTTATTTCTCTTCTTTATTTCTCTTCTCTCTATTACACTTCTGAGTATTTAATGGAATGTAGAATGGGGTGAAAAAAGCAAGAGTGCTTTTGGCATGGTAGCTAGGACATTGTTTTAAGCAGGGGATACGTACCTTCCCAGCTGCTCCTGTTCTCCAGTGCTGTGTCATTTTGTTTACTGGTTTTATTTATAGCTGCTCTAAGGTACATCTTTTGCATTTCTGGGAGCTTGGGTCTGAAACCCTGGTTCAGTCCCCTTCTTGCTGGTTATTCCTGCCAGTGAGTTGTTATTCAGTGGATCTTTTTCTTCTAATTTTGAGTGACTTGACTTCTAAAGAGGGTCAGGAGTACCCTTGCTCAGGGGTGTGTATTGGCCCTGAGCCAATAGTTTTGGACCCTTTTGCAGAGTCTACCCACCTAGGGCTTTGTGTTGTGGGATGGAGCTGGGTGCAAATACAGGTTGGCTCTCAGATTTCTTTGTGGAATGTAGACAGAGTCACAAGTGTCTGGCTGTCCACCCTAAATTGCAGTGGAGCTAAAAAGCTGCCAACATCCCAGAGAAATACTTCCTAGCGTGTGGTAGTAACCTCTAGGATAAATAGACATGTCTGATGAATTTAGATATTAAATAGATTGAGATAAGCTGAATAGCTGCCCAGATCTTAAGCAGACAGGTAGCATTCCCTCACCAGAAATGTTGATAAGTGCATTAGTGTTATTCAAAGAGCTGATGTCATATTTACTGTAATGAAAGCATTTAAAATTTAACTGGAATTATTGCTACATTTATATAGTATATTTAATTTCAGGTAATCAGAACTGGGATCTAATGAAAGCATAAGTGAAGACAGGGAGGAGATACACATGTATCACACATTTTAGATTGAAAATGAAGATTGTCAAGCTATGGTCACTGAACAATTTTTTTCAAGTTAGCTTCTTTATAAACTGTAGGTTTGGGTAAAATTGGGTAAATCTAGTAAATAACAAAGTTAATAAAAAATGTGTCTTAATTTTTAGAATTCTAGAGTACAAATAAAAATGGATATTTTTCTTCTGGTATCTCTTGACTGTATTAATTTTAAAGCCAGACCCAAGATGGGTTAAGTTATGGGAAATGTTCCTGTAGAGAGCCAGTTACACCTATTGAATTCCACTTGTACAATGAAGTTGTGGCTTAGCAACCAGAACACTTATGGATTAGCTTAATTAAGATAGTTGTTCCTGATTGTACCTGAGTGTAATGCAAGTGGCTCTAATGAAAAACAAAATTTGCAGTCTAATTTTTGTAGGTTACTTTGCAAGGAAAAAAAAAAAGAAGATACAAAGAATTAAGTTTAACCAAAAATCCCTGAAAATGGTGAAAGAACTCCCCAAAGCATTTATGTAAAAGAATGGCTGAGAACTCGGAAGGGGTGATGCATAGGGAGTGAAAAAGAGGTTGGTTCAAAGCAGCATTACTGATCTTTTAAATAGGATTAAGAATAAATTTTTAATATATACTATTTCCTCATTTCATTATCTTATCTATATTATTATTTTAATTATACAAAATTTTAAATTCACATCCTGGCCTATCTTTCTCCTGCATATAGTTTTAGGAGTACAGGTCTGCTCTAGTTCCAGGAACGGATTTAAACAGGACAAAAGGTGCTGAAGCAGAAAGTCAAAACCAGTCTGATGATAGTGTTGCACCTGGGGAGCAGGATGGTGTTGTATATCCCTTTAGGACTGGAGTTAGTTTTATATGTTGGATTAGGAGCATGTGTCAGAAGCACTCGCCTCCACTCTGCTTGGCTTGTGTCCTGCAGCAGTGTTGGAGCCTGTGAAAGGTCCTTCTCAAGTAACCCTAAAGCAGATGATGTGCTCTGGGAGCACCTCAGTGTGCTCTAGCTGTTGGTAGGTAGCAAGCCTGTGGGACAGACTGCCCCATAACACAAATAGATTTTTAATAACCACCTAGTACCCATCTCTGGACCACCACACTGGGTAGGTGGCATCCTACTGCTAACTGGTCTCGGTTTGGAGATGACAAAACAAAGTGTTTTCAAAACAGGTACAATTGTCTTTTCCTAACACAGAACACAGTTCATCTGAGCATGATTTAATAGATAATTTTAGCATTTCTTCTTTGACTAGTGGAGCTGTGGTGGGAGCAGGCTCACAAATCATTCCTAGTGAACAACCTTGCCTTTCTGTTGTAGGGAGATGTAGGAGAGAGTTTTGGCATAAATACAAAAAATGAAGAATAACGGGGTACTTTTAACTGAGTTGTACATTGAATTCCTGTTTTGTTTTCTTAGTATGTTCAGTGTGTTAGTCTGTTTTCTTTTTGTGTTTGGATGTTGGGAATCAGATGCAGCATGAACATGTGAATTGTCTAGGATTGCAGTTGTTTTCTTTGAATTTCTCTGCTTTTCTTAACTCACATAAATGGAGGTGAGCTCCATAATGTAATGAAGATGCCTGAAGATGGAAACTGTTTTCTGGCTCTTCCTAAGTTTTTCAAAGCTATCTGTAAGCTTGGGAAATGGGGGAAGGGTAATTAGCTAGTCCCTGGTGTAGTGGTAACCAGTAGATGCATTATCTCTGTGTATTGAAAATCATATGTTTTGATTTGCTTGAATTATCAGGCTTAGAAAAGTGGATTTAAGAAGAGATTCGTAGCTGAACCATGATAGCTTTCTTTCAATTTGCACACTACATTCTTTCAATTTTTACATTACAGTAGAAAGCATTTCAATGCTGATTATCTACCTGTGGATATTTGCAAATGATAGACACTAGTATGATAATTACGTTACTAAAATATGTGAATTTTTGTGTGTTTTAGGCTGACCTGTCTCTGTACAATGACTTCAGATCTTGGAAGGATGAGCCTACTATGGACAGAACATGTCCTTTCTTGGACAAAATTTATCGGGAAGATATTTTTCCATGTTTAACATTCTCCAAAAGTGAGGTAATGGAAATGGTCTAAATGCACTCACTGATGTCTTCCCCTTAAATATGTTACATGGAGCCAAAAGACTATTATATTGTTTTCAATATGAAGTTTTGCCATTTTTGTTTCAGTGTGTGAGAATTTACAGTGAAATTCTAAAGTTTGGTCTGGAGTATTGAAATGACCACTTTTTTATTCACTATTCCATTCAATTCATGCTCTTCTAGATATGGCTTTTTTATGTCTACTTCTTCATATGTTACTCCTGTCTGTTAGAATCTGATCTTTGTAGGAATGGATGGAAGTTTTCTTCCTGATACTTCAGATACAGTGTAAAAGTTGTGTTCTGTCTCTTGTTTATATAGGGGGCAGTAGAGACCAATGTATTTAATTTTGTGGACTGATTTTCTCTATTAGTCAAAGCAGACTGCAAGCATAGTCTGGGCCTTTTCTTGAAGAGAAGTTTGAGTTATGAGAATTAGACTTTAGGATTTAAGATTCAACAGGGGCAGCTGGTAAATACGGTTTGAGAGGAATCAAGTTACGAGACTTTGTTCCTTGTGTTATTTCCACACATTCTCCCATACACAGGAAAGACTGGAGTTTTACCTGTCCTGGGAATAACATGGAACTGATCACAGATCCAGCTGCTTTGCTTAGTTTTTGTTCTTAAGCACAATTTACAGGCTGTACTTACAGTATTGGTCAGTAGGTAAAAGGGAGCATACTCTTAGATCTTTATTAAAATAAGAACAAGAAATTTTAAAGGCCTAAGTACTGATATTCTTTCCCAGTAAAATTAAACAGGTCACACAGAAAATCCTACATTTTGTTCATAATTTTTATCTGTTGTTTTCAGGAGGTGTTATGTTCTTTTTCCATGCTTTTCATCTGCTGTTACTTGGTGGCCACAAGCGCATGCATTCTTTTAGTTAATTGTGTACCGGTTTTTTATGGCTGGTGTACAGCATCATATGAACCTCTCCCACTAAAGAGTTTACTTGGTTACTATGGGAATTAAATTGCTTCTGCAGTAAGTAGGCCATCCTGTTGTCTTTTGCAGCAACTTAATTTTGGATTTTGTTCTTCATTGGTAGTATAATTACTGTAGATTTATATTGCCTTTTAAGGGAAGAATGAGGCTTCTAGCACTTGTCAGTTACACCATTTATTGTTTCCAGATGCTATGTGTAGTGACCAGCTTCTGTTTTACTAGTCTATTGATAGGCTAGTGTGCAGTTAAACCAAACAATAAATTACACATCTATTGTGTTTTTGAATAATTGAAAGTGCAATTATGTGAATGGTTGAAGTATTACATTAACTTTCCATAGCCTTTGGTGTATATGGGTAGGGTTCTGCTTTTGGGAGATGGCAGAGAGAGTATTTCATATGAACTACTTTAATAGTAATGTCCTGGTCTTAAAATAATTAAAGCACAATAGAAAAAAATATTTTTATTACTTAGTAGAAGGAACTTTGGAACAAAATTATTTCATTAGTAATATAAGTTGCACCTTTTTTAAAACCAGGTAATGGCTTCTATTTGAAACAGGGGTCTTGGGCAAATGTTCACTCCAATCAAGCAAAGTCACATTTCCAGTGTCTTATGATTGTTTATAAGGAGTGAGCATGAAAAACTTTAAAAAGTTTAAAAGTTAAACTTTAAGTGGACCAGTGTTTGAAAGTTGCAGCTGGCTTTTCTATATATAGTTCAGTCTTGTTTGAACACCTTGCTAGAGCAATGTTTAGCTGACAAACAGTGACATACTATTTACTTGTTGTATTCAAGATAAAAATGTATGCAGCATAATTATGTATTTTTCATAAAACACAATACAATTTTTTAAAATAAAGTTTGTGCCATATTGTCTCTGACAAGAGCACAGCATGTACAAATACATGTGCTATTTGGGTGTATGAGGAAAGGCTGAAAATAGTGTTTTAAACATGCTTAACTACATTCCTGGCTGTAGGAACAGGAAAGGAAGTTAGGTTGCCTCAGGGAAAGCAGGGTTATTTGTAGGGCAGAATTTGCACAAGGGCTTGGAAATGGGACCTCTTGCTTGTGATAAAAGTGAAATCTTATTTGTAATATAATTTTTGTTTGGTGGGTTGATGTTTTTTTTCTTTCCCCCCCTGTGTTCTTAACTTTCCAGAAGAAATATGTCACTGCTTTGAGGCAATGGATGAAGTAGAGCTGTTTTTAACTGCTTTCTAAATTTCTCTTGCAGTTGGCCTCAGCTGTTCTGGAAGCTGTTGAAAACAACACTCTGAGCATTGAACCTGTTGGCTTGCAACCTGTTCGATTTGTGAAAGCTTCTGCAGTTGAATGTGGGGGACCAAAGTATGTTGAGCTAACACATAGGGGGATAATCTTGACTCATTTGAGATCTCTTGGCTTGAGAAAACTGCTATCCTCAGACAGAGAAAACTGTTTACCTCAATCAGATTTGTGTGTCTTTAATTTCCTAAAATCTAAGACTTCAAGATTGTTGTTACAAATTTTATGGGAAAGTAAACATCTAATAAATGAAACTTCAAAATAACCCCTAATATAGAACAAACCTTATAATTTGGGGAGAGCTTGACTTTTGCTTGTCTTGATGCATTGACCCTGAAAGTAACATTCACCTCTTTGGAGAAGACCATTCTGATACTTTAACCAGATGGTTTTTGAACTGGAGGCTCTCAGGTGGAAAGCATAATGAAAGAAATAGGTATTGAAATAGTACAGGCTGGATTTATGACATCTGGAGTACTTGTGGCATAAAAGGACATATGTAGGATGCTGACAGAGTATTTAAGAAATACAGTTAATCCTCTGAATTTGAGCAGGAGGAATGCAAGTGGGAATGAAGACAAATGACAGTTTGCACCTAAAGTAAGAAGTATGTTTAAAAGACAGGAGGGAAGGTTATTTTATAAATTCTGGAATGGTCCTAGAGAAGTGTGAAGGAAGATTTGTTATCAGGTACTGATACAAACATTGAAATTGGGTGGGAGTGACTTGCCTGAGGCACTGGGGCTTTGATGATGTGGAGAAGGAAAGGGATTGTAGGATGCCTTAGTGGATGTCTGAGTAAGAAAGCAAAGTCAGTCTGGATATTAATCTGAATCCTTCCAAATCTTGAGAAAGACTTGACCTTTCTCTTGGAGGTATTTTGGACAAGTTAACAATTTACTCTATAATATTTGATTTGAGAGAGCTCAATTTTACAACAGAAAACTTCCATCAAAGTTTTCTTTGATGTTTTCATCTGACTCCCAAGATGTTTTTTCTTTCTCATTGCCATTGTTTTTAAATCCTTGTTTTTCCTCTGTTGTGTGGAAGAGAAACTACAACTGACACATCTCAAAATTCTTTATTTTCTCTTTAAAGAAACTGTATAAAGTGAAAACTTGTTTTCTGTGTTTTATGACTTAGTCTTTGCTCCCTTCTAGCCTGTGAAGTTCAAGCATTCAAATACTTTTCAACTTCCTCCTGTCACTAGAACACACTTTTTGAGCTGCAGCAGCCTCTCATCAAGAGGGGCCCACACCAGTAGTGGAGCTACTCAAGGGATAGTGAATCCCTGTCCAAAATCTGCCACTGTAAACTGTGTTCCATGAAAACAGCAGAGGATCTGGACAGTCAGAAACCAATGAAACAAGCCACGTGTCATTAAAGAACAACTAGCAAATGTATTTAAAGTCATTGTGGTTCAAGTATCTTTGCTACATCTTGATGTGATGAAATACGTAGCCAGACAGGAGACTCAACTGCATCATTCAGATATTTCTGGATATTTTTAACCCTTTTTATTCAGTATAGGATAACTTTTAAATCAGAATTTAGAAAATCCTTAAATATTTGGCAAGATAGAGATTGATGTTTTGAGATGACAATGCACAAGTTGTAATTTAGTTATTTTAGCTATACCAAAAGGTCAGGGAAATTACTTTCTCATTTTCCAACTCTTCTGTAAAAACAAACTTTTGTGGAGCTGCTTGTAGATAAGTAATAGGTAAGGAATCTGCAGTATTTAAGTGTAATTTGACAGCAGTTGTGCTTTGCCTTATATATTATTATTTGCACTGGATGGGAAACAGGTGTTGCGGTTTTCACTGGATCAGCATAGCAGTTTCAGGTTTTTATTTTCATACAGTGCAAAATGCTTTTTTTCATTGAAACTGTCTTCTTAAGTGGGTACCTTAATATAGACAAATGGATAATAAACAATAACAAAAGCTAGAGTAATGCTTTTAAGGAAGTAATTTTGTTGTACATTTGCATTTTGTTGTACATTCATGTAGGGGAATGGATGCATAAAATACTGGGTAAGAGCCTAGCATAATGAGGGGTGGAGGACAGAGAGCTATGATAGCAGTACAGAAAGGTTCTGAATATACAGGAGTTACTGAATGGTAACTGTGATGGTGTGTAGTGAGTGCTGCCTTAACAGATGACAGCTGGGTTTCCCCAGAAGATTCACATAATTGTCCCCATGGGGAACAAAGCACTGAGCTGAGTGTGCTGCACAGCACGAAACTGAGTCACCAGCAGGAGCCCTCAGGATTTAACTGGTGTGATGGAGGACAACATAGAGGAGGCAATTATGTAACCAGAGGAATACAAGGGTTTTATTTTCCTAGGGTTGAAAGTTTGTCTTGTGACAAAATTGTGATCCAGCTTGCTTCAGCTACTTTAGGATTTCTTGTTTTAATGAACTGCTGTCAGTCCTCATAAATTGCTATGGAAAACCATAAAATACACACATCAATTTTCTCCTGTTTTACATGGTTCTGTGGACCAGCTGCAGGCAATTTAAAAGGGCCTGTGAGCCACTGTTCAGACTCACAGGAGCTTAGTCGTTTTTGTTTCACTTTTGAAAGGCTGCTTGTTCTTAGACTCCCTAATTTCATGAGGTAGAAATGGGAGAAAGAAGAACCAGCAGCTTTTAAAATTAATGAAACAGTGGTTGCCATACCAACCCAGTTCATCTGAGATGCTCTAATACAGACATTCCGAATAAATCAAATTGTTCTTATCTTTAAAAATCCATTGTTTTCCTAAATTGTTCTTTTTTTGGGAACAGTTTGTGGTGATAATGACCTTTCCTGAATATTGCATAGTTGCAATACACCAGAAGTAAATTTGATTATTTTACTCTCACTTTTTGGAATCGTAACAGAAAGAATTACTGCCAGACAGGCCATTTTCCTTTGTCCCAAAAGATTTTATACTCTGAATGTAAAATGTGATTTCAATTTGGGCATAAATGCAAAACTGGATTTAAAATGCATCTCAGAGAATTGACTGCTCTTCTGTGGGGCTGATTTTTTTTAGGATGAGGTATAATATCAATAATATGAATAATATCAAGTGGAACTTGAAAAAAATCTGTTTAAATGTTGGCATCAAAATTTAATCAACATCAAATTTTAAAATGTTTATTTGACATATTAAGAGTTAATTAAAGAAATCCCACTGTGCCAGAGTTGTCAAGCCAATTTAAATTAGTGAATATGGAAGTGCATTCCCAGACCTGAAGAAAGTTTTAAAATTCAAAAAAAGCATCATAATGCACCAGTATTGAAATTAAATTAGGCCTTGTGGAACTCAAATAGTTGACAACATAATGTAATAATTGCAGCTGGCAAAATGGAACGTAGAGACTCATCAGTCTTTGCCAATATGAATCAGTTACATTCACACCATAAATGCATGTGTTTAGACGTTAATGTCAGATTTGTTTATTGAATCATGTGACCTTTATATTTGTAGGAAATGTGCTCTCAGTGGACAAAGTAAGTCATGCAAGCATAGAATCAAATTAGGAGATTCAAGCAGTTACTACTACATTTCTCCTTTCTGTCGTTACAGGGTAAGTAGATTTACTATGACTTAATTTTGTGTAATAGCTATTTAGCTATTTTTTCCACACTTGTATACAAAATTACATTAACCTCCATTATTTTTATATGAGTTTAGATCACTTCGGTGTGTAACTTCTTTACATATATTCGATACATCCAGCAAGGACTGTTGAAGCAGCAAGATGGTAAGTATAAAAAATTGTATTTGACCTACATAAAGAGACATTTACATATTGCCTCCTAAAAGTTGCTCTCTGTGCAACAAAGTTTCTAGCTGTGACCTGACATTACAGGTTATCAGGTTATTGTCATAGTTGTAATCTTCAGAATATTGTGGTATTTCACTCTCCAATAAAGTTATTTTTTAAAACAAAAAATTATAATGCATTGATTCTTTAGTCCATTTTAAAACCCCTTATACAGTAAGAAATGTTAAAGCAAAATCTAACTAGGGGAGTTAGTCACAGTTTTTCCACACAGCAATCGAAAATAAAATATCTGTCACAGAATGTGGAGGCATTTTGGATACAAAAAACTTCATTTTGGTTTGATCTGGGCCATTTTTTCTTTAGCTTGGTATTTTGGCACATCTCATTTTGTGCAATGGCAGTTGAGACAACTGTTCTTGTCAGACTGTTTTTTCAGGGGGAACTGGCAAGAAAGACAATATTTTGGGTAAAATTGCAAAATGTAAACAAGTAACCTTTTATGTATACAGAAAACCTGTAATCATTCATCTGAGTGCAGGTGAGAAATGAGATCATTGCAGTGGCATCGCCAAATCTTGACTGGGGCTCGGGTTATAAATGTAAGGTTTGATTACCCTCCACCCCAAAAGAGAAAAGTGTTTTTTACTGCCATTGCTTCAGGCTGTGACTTGGGAGGGGTTCCCTACTTTTGTTACCCAGTTGGTTTGGTCATGTCAGAATATCATATCCAACAAGTGCCTATTTGAGCTGTGTATGCACAGTATTTCAGGAATTTGCTTACCTGTGCTATGTGGTTCCAGTATGTCCATATAAAATATGCTTGTGAAAACATATTCACGGTACACCTAGTTACTTAATTCTGGAATTTAAAAATATATCGCATGTTGGAGGCATAGTTTTGTCTTCATTTTCAAGACCACTTTACCTGTTTATCACTATAAAAGGGAAAGAAGGTGGTTTTACTGCGTTTAAATTGCACACAGTTGATTTAACTGTCAAAGAATTTTGCCAAACAGCTTTCAGTCCAAATTTTTTTTTTGAAACAGGTCGTATCACTCAGGCTCCCAGAAATACTGAGCACAGATAGTGGAAAAAGTGTCATTAGCCCTGTGCCAATAGTAAATTAGAATATTTGTTTTCACTGTGAAAATGTAAGTTTTTTTTAGTTCAGTTGCATCTTTGAAAGTAAAACAGTTAAACATTGTAATATTTATGGATGTCTGTGCATTTCATTATTCCAGTTTTCAAGTCTCTGTGGATTTGCTTCATCAAGAATTTGGCTAGAATTAGCCCTGCTTTGCTACCTCACCTATAGTCATCTCTTCCTGATGTTTCCAAATTTCAAGAGCTCAGGATTTTAGCTACACCCAAATATTTCAAACCTGAAGTACTCCTGAGGTGATAGATAGACTTACTTACAAAAAATAATGCTGTTAATTTTCAATGTTAAAGGGTCACGGAATTTGCTGGAAATTCAGCTATTTCCTATACTTAATTATGTTTAATAAAACCTTCAGATATTGGTAATTTTTACTGACTGACTAGAATCACTGAAGATCTTGAAAATATGTTAAGTTTTAATATGGTTTGTAGTTATAAGGCTTTTACTTTCACCAAAAGGACCTGTGAAGTTTCAACTAAAAATTGTTTACTTTGCTATTGAGATTAAAAAAACACTCAATTAATGGTTTTTTTACATCATGTTATGAAATATTTTCAGCATTATCAGATTGATTTATTCCTCCCAAGAAGTTTGTAAAAAAAAAAAAAAAAGAAAAAAAAAAGAGTTTGGTGTTTTAGCTCAGTTGTCATCTTTACTATTAGAACATAGAATTTGCATTCCTTGTTTTATATAAGGATTTCAACAGTACATTCACAGGAATGTAGGCACTCATCGTAATTGTCTGTATAATGTTCTGCATGCATTTCTACTAGCATGCCATAGAATTTTTCAGACAGAGGTCACTTTTACAAAAGTGTTTTTTGAACTATGGTAGGGAAAACCTTGTATTTGTTCAGGTTAATGATACTTGTAGACATTCTACATCAGGATCTTGACTACATGGAAATTTTGTCTGGAATAATTATATGCACCATGATTTTGATTGGTATTGCTGTGATGTCTAGAAGCTTAAGCCAATGCGTTAGGTTTATCATGTTTAGGAAGATATAGATGAAATTAGAAAAAAGGGTCTGTCTTACCCAGGTTATTGTTGCTAGCAGATTACTGTAGAAAAAAAAGGAGCAAGAAAGATTATAAATGGCAAAATTTAACAAAATTACAGATTCTTTGGTGAAACAATTCTTATTCAACAAGCTCTACTTTTTTCTTTTTGTAGTCATTTAGTTTCACAGAATGAGTCTAGGGGCAGGGAAACTTAAATAAGAAATTGTAATTAATTGAAGCTGACAAGGAGCACTGATACAGTTCTCCTTTTTTAAAGAAATCTAAAATCTGATGAATTTTTTATAGGACTCTCATTTAGAATGTTCAGAATGTACTTGAACAAATTTTGTCATAACCAAGTACGATTAGCTCTTACTTATGCTGATTTTACCAGATGTTTGTTATAAAGTTCCCCAAAACTTATGTAGAATAAGGCAGCCTGAATACATCAGTTGAAATAAAATGTGAATTTGATATATTTAATGTTATTTCTGTCTTTTTTAGTGGATCAGATGTTCTGGGAAGTTATGCAGCTGAGACGAGAGATGTCACTAGCAAAACTTGGCTATTACAAAGAAGAGCTCTAAAACTTTTTACTCTTGCGCGTGCATGAACTTCATTGAATATACATAACTAAAGTTACTGAACCTTTTTTGTCACTTGATATTTATTTCCACAAAGTGGGTCCAAGATCTTTCTCCATTTGCAGATGGCACTAAGAAGTACTGTGATTGTTTTAAACTGACCTATGCTGTATATGCGTACATATAATACTTAGTTGAACAAATGTGGTAAGCACTTGCAGGTGTATCAGTGATTGTAATTTACATTTAAAAACAAAACTTCTGATTAAAGTGTTAATCTGAAGCAGTCTGTCTTCTATTCTTTGTGATGCAGAATGATGTGAACCTCCCCAGCAGGACACTCCAAAATGTAGAACTGATTTTATGAAGAGCGAATAAATAAATGCCTGGTATTTTCTTTATTGTAGCGTTTAGGTACACTTATGCAGCTCTCTATGGATGTATGCCAGAACAGTTAACATACATTTGGGGGAGCTTGGAATTGTTTCAAGTGCTGTTTTCTTATACTTGTAATTTTAAACAATATGTATGTAGGAAGAGAAACACATATAGTGAAGTGTCACAGCACAATAAACCTGAGTTTATTTATCTTCTCTTTAAGGAAGGGTGCTTGTCAAATATGAAGGATGGATAAAATTATCTTGTTTGCACTTTGGTTAGAAATCTATGCTGACCCCTATATGACTGCTAAAAGCTTTCTCTTTCCTTATTCTTTCACTAAAATTTTTTCATTCATTTAAATTAGTTTTTTTTCTTCCACTCTTCTGGAATTTCCAGTTTTCAATGTCTTATACATAATTTTCCCTGTGTTTGTTCTTGAAACATGGAAATTTCCATTGTGTGATTTCTTTAACATGCTGATGATAATTTCCATATAATGCTACAATTTGTGTATATGAAAATTTGTGTGTATGAAAAAAATGGTGTCAGAGAACCCCGAGAAAGGATCCTGGCCTCTTAAGAGGTGCTTTTTGTGTTGGAAGTGTTTCTTTGGCACTTGAAGTTCAAGCAGTCATTTTTTTCTCGGGTGTTGTCTCAGCTGAAGGTGGAGAATTGATGATGTTACAAGGAACATGGTTGTGGGTATGTACTAGACTTGCCTTTTTGGAAGAACATGGGATCTCAGTCCTGACAACTGTTAATCAGCTACACACAGGATTAAAACTTTGACAGGTAAACTGACTAGAAGGTGAACTTACTTTCACTAGAGGCATCTCAGTGGATGCAGACCTCTTTGATGCTGAGCAAAACCAACACTATTCATAATCACTGTCTTGCTGCAATGTTCTCTGTTTTCATAGAAGTCAATATAGAATGAGCTGTGAAATCTAGTATCATCTTTATGTTGCTTGTATATACGTGAAAACACTTTGCAAATCTTGGCTTTGACTGGATATTTCAATGTTAAAGTAAAAACAAACAACTGAACCTAGATATTATTAGTAATGGTGTATGTATGTCCAACCTGGGCTGTTTTAGTACTGAGGGAATATTTTTCTTAATCTCCCCTTACTGGGTACTACTTGCTGTTGTGGAAACCTGGAATAATTCTGTCAGCAGTTGTTAAAGGATTGTTTATCCATTCAATAATGCCAAGGAAGTCTGGCTTTACTCACTCTTAGAAAACAAGCTGTGTTTATTGGTATTAATATGTTATGTTAAGCTCATAAATGCTTCCTAAATGCTTGTTAATCCTTAGTTTAGATAATGAGCTAGAACTGTTTCCATGATTAGCTATGGCTCATGTCATAGCATTTGCCCATGACAGTAGGCAAATGGTTGCCAGTAGTTGGTGCGATTCTGACTTAATATCCTTTACAACTGCAAAATCCTGTTGTGCCTTCAAGCAGAGAGAAGGGTCCTTTCTGTACATGGTAGTATCCAAAATGTATTATGCTGAGGTGATTTTCTTGTACAAAGGTGTACCCCATGTAGTGCATCTCAATAGTAATGACTGTTTGGCTCAATTACATCAACATGTTGTAAATGTTGTGAAGACCTCTGTCTTCATGTTCCTACTCCAAAATTCTTTTCTGTTTTTCATATGAGCTTTTTATCATGAGAAACCTGTGTCACTGTGAGTACCTGGGGCTTGTAAAAACTGGACAACTACTTTTCTGGTGGGTATAATTACTTCCAAAAATGTCCTAATTCCAGACTCCATCAGAGCTTTAGTTCATAACTATGCAACAAATGCCTTTTTTAGATACCTACTCAAAACATTTGAATATTTTTCTCCTGTTTGCTTAGTGGTGACAGAATGGGCAGTTTTCAGTGTTTAAAGATGAACTAAGAGAAAGTAGAGTTTGCTGCTAGCCTTAAAAGAGCTTTGTTCCCATATTCTGCTTTCTCATATGTTTTCCAGTGTTACCTTAGACAAAAAGGCTAATGTGTGATTTAGTTTTAATAATAGTAACAACATAGAAGTTCTACTTCCCTGCCAGTGATGGCTTTGCTCTTGCATTTTTGATTATTACTGCTTTCATTGGTAGTACTAATTACATGACCTGTGTGAAAGTACAAAGACAAGATAAGTAATTTTTATTGCTGCATTTTTTGCGCATGTGTAATTAGTACTGGGAACAAAGGTCCTTAAAACAAGAACATTAGACTTACTGACTGGCTAGAACCCACATCATCTTGCCCCAAAAGCCTTGTTAGAGTCTCCTTTATGTGTACCTTTACATAAAGCCTAATTATAACCCTGACTCTAGTTATGGAGGAATGAAATCAGCTGCGACCAAGTCGTTGAAACCTCTGATAAAAACATGATATGTTCCTTGGCATGTTCATAATCATCTGGAAGAGAGTGCATTTGTCCCAGTGGGAGCTCTTCAAATAGTACCAAAGCAAAACACTTCTACTGGCTTTTCATGGATGTCGTGGGAGAAAATGAGGCCTTGCAGAAGTTCTTTGAAGGTAGGACTAATTTCAAGAGAATCCTTAACAATTTTTGATGGCAGCAAAACCAGAAATTGTTTGGGGGTAATTGAGGAAGAAAGGAGAAAGAAAAAAATGCTCTGAAACCCAAAGCTGTATTTACAGTAAGTTATTGTGGAAGACAGTACCAGAATGAATTATTACAAATGGTACAGATGTGCTCCAGTGCCTTTTTTTATTGTGCTGTGGCCAGAATACCAAAGGGAAGGCAGACCCAGCAAAGACAGCAGTACAGGTGAGGTAATTGCCTTGAAGAAAAACTGGGAAGTGACTGAAGACTCATTGCAGTGTAACATTTCTGAAATCTTAGTGATTTTCATGTGGTTAGAGATCTCACTTCCTTGTCAGTTTTAGCATGTTAGGTAAAGAAGTTTTCTTTCCACTAATGTTCTTGTGAAATAGCCTGATTGTAATTGGTAAAATGGTAATTGTGTTGGTATCCTCAGGACCCTTTGGAGGAGTTAGACTTGGATTTTTTTTGTCTTTTCTCTGGAATAACCTGTCCTCCCTTTTCTCCAAGACATTTTCTATTCAAGCTGGTCCAATTAGTTTAATAACTTTCTCTTATTTCGCAATTCAGTTCCCAATAGATTCCGTAATAAAACTGCATTTTTTAGACTCTGATAATGTGTTCAAAGGCTTTTTACTTTTATATTTTTTTTGCTAAGTATTTTCTTTCCCTTCCTCCACTTTGCACTTTGCTTTTTGTTTTTAATATGTTACCCGTTCTAGTCTAAGCTGCCTTTGTTGTATTTGTTTTCCATCTATTACCTATGCAGATATTCACTGATCTCAAAGTAACCTGAGAAACTACTTTTTCTGTTGTGATTTTCTTTCTGTGTTTTTTTCCCCTTCCCCTCTGTTGGCCTGAGTGAGAGGTGGCAACTGAAACTTTTGAATTTTAATTTCAAGCTAGGACAATTAAAAATTTGACCAAGGAAATACATTTAAGCCAAGAAATTTAATTTGGTGAGCTACAATCTAGAGCTGCTAGCCAGCAAATGTGTTTTTTATAGATGGTAGGAAGTTCATACAATGTTCCTTAAATTTAGTTTATGTCATGGAACTGAAAGGCTAACAAACTTTTTTTGGCTTTGCTTTTAGCAGCATAATTCTTGTTTTTATCAGGATTTAAAAAAAAAATTTCTAATTATTACTTCAGCTCTTTTTGGAAAGTCTTTTGCCAGTGTGAGGGGGAGAAGTCCTGTTGATTCCTTTTAATTACAGGAAAAGTGAAACATCTTGGGATGTCATGTCCCTTCTGTAATGTGTGGCTCTGCTGTGTTCCCTTAGAATGTGACAAAGGTCTGCTAAGGCCATACAGCGTGCTGTGATGCTGTTAGATGGCTGAATTTCATTATCTGGACACAGATATGTGTCAAGGCTGTAAGAGCTAATCATTCAGCATGGAGTCAGCTCTCTTGCTGCTATAAACCATGGGTAAGTCTGAGAAGGGAGCAAGCTGAAGTTCAGAGATGGTTAGCCCTCTTTTCAAGCAGGGGTTGTGTTTACTGAACACAAAAGCAGTTTTAAGTAGTGGCATCTCTACAACTTGGCACTTCAGCTTGTGGGCTGGCTTTGTAACACTTCAATGAGGCAAAACCTCATGAAGAGTCATAAATTGCTAGTGTTGATTTGATGGTCTCTGATTAGTCATAGCAGTATTAGAACATTGTTTTTCGAGGCTGTGAAAAAACTGGATCTTGCAATATCAAGTGGAGAATGGTGCTATTGAGTGGTTCCTCAGTGGTTCAGTTTTGGCTTATAAATGCATGAGCTGGCAGTTAATGAATCTATAGATCTGCTTTGTAAGATGATTTGAAATTCATGAGCAAAGAGTCCCCTCTGCCCTGTGCTTTAGTTCCTTAGTGTGTATTTGTTGTGACACTCACTAGTAAGACAGAGTTGCATCTGCAGTATTGAAAGGGGACAGTCTGAAGCAGGATTTTTTTTTTTTCAAGGAAGTTGAGATAATGTTTGTTTTCCTGGCAATCACTTCTTTGAATAGTTAGATAGTTAGATATTAGTTAGACCTTTTAGATGAGATATTACTCTGGGATTTGACCTTGGCTTTTTCTCATTGAAGTAAATGGCTTTTGTCTTGTGTGGCTGGGAAGTTCTCATTTTT